GTGTGTGGTTGTGTGTGTGTGTGTGTGTGTGTGTGTGTGTGTGTGTGTGTGTGTGTGTGTGTGTGTGTGTGTGTGTGTGTGTGTGTGTGTGTGGAATAACAATCAAATTTAAATTTAAATGCATTTTCCTACCCATTAAATTCTTTGGAATGGAATCTTGTTCTAAAGAATAAAAATCGAGTCAATCTTGAAAAAGAGCGGCTCGAGTTTCTTTAGCAGTGTTACTTTTTAGAGTAACAATTCACTCTAATAGCGCATTTCACTGGCTGCACTGGTGCGCACTGAGTGCGCACTAGACGAGAGCAGCGTGTTTTACTGAGCATTTCGGTGCGCATGAAAACGGTGCGCGTTGTTTCACTGGGAAATTTGGTGCCAAGTTTTTGTTAGGAGTGCAATAAACTCGCACTTTCGACAATCTCGTGTAGTGCTGCTACTACTAAACGAGTTTTGGTGCGCACTCAGTGCGGCCCAGTGAAATGCGCTATAAAATAAGTTTTAAAGAATACAAGTGTAACATTATGTAAAAATAGCAATATACTATATTACTGTACTAGAACAGAAATTATATTTCGTTCCGAATGCTCTTTTCTACAGGGACTATTAAAAATATCACGTATGAAAATGGAAAAAAAATACTATAATATTCGCTATATATTATAGATTTCTCTATAGTGTTTTTCCTAGTATTTTTATATGCAATTTTTTTCAAGAATAAAGTTCCAAGAACATTTTCTACTGCACACGAAATTGTTAAATGCCCTTATTATCGGAACGAACTAATCATCGCACAAACTAAACATAATATCAATATCGAGCAAAAATGTTGACTATGAATATCTAGCTAGACATTTAAAAATAATTTATATTTATTTTGAATGAATGGACATTATATCGAATATATCAAATAATGAAAATATATTTCTTTAAAAAAGAACTAAACAAAGAGATGGTAATATTCCAATTTTTCTTATAATGAAGCTTACAAACGAAAGCTATCTTTAATATTTAATGTGAGGAAGACTTTGTTTGCTTACAATCCCAATTACATAAACGATAAATGGAACTAAATATTATGTCTAAACAATACGGCGATTTTTATAATATATGAGACAAATGATTGGTAGATTCTTATGCACAGTATAGCTAATATATGTAAGTTTTAACTAGATGAACCTTCAAAAATGGAGAGTGAATATGAATAGTTAATAAATATCTAGCCGATAATTTATTCATAATTTTTTATTTAATATTTTTATATCGAACAGTAAAAGATATCGAATATTCGATATTATCAAATATATAACAATAAACATCCCTAGCACAAATATCCCAGTGAGAAATGACAATGGAATCGACGTCGAATCGATGTCAATTCCATTGTCATTTCTCACTAGGATTGCCTTAAGGGCTGGTTGTTCCACTTTCCGATAAATTTTACCTGTTAGGTAAATAGCAAGATTACCCAATCACGTGCGCGGATTGCCAGATTTATCTAACAGGTAGAATTTATCGGAAAATGGAACAACCGGCCCTAAACCTTGTGTTCATGGTATTAGAACTCGATCCGAATTCTCGGACCGAGAAATCTGTAACCTATCAATTTGCTGTTTTTCCATAAAAACTACATGTCGATTGGTTAACACATTCTTAGATCCAAAAACTCGGACCGAGTTCTAGTACCGTGGATACAAGACTTAATACTGTAGCGTCCTATGCCATTTTATATCAGTCGAATCTTACGTTACTTTACATATAGCCATCTATAAGCATATAATGTATGAGTAACGGCAATGTTTGTGTGGTGGAACTAAAATTCAATATAGAGATCGAAAGATGCTCAGTGGAGAATGATAAATAACGTGTAAGTTAATTTTCCTTATTTACTTATTGTTAGTTATATTTTCTTGATATATAATTTTTTAATTATATATTGTATAATCGTTTGCCGAGGGAAATGATATATTTCGTATCTTTACAGAGACAAAATTTAAATTAAATTCTCTCTTTCCGACTTTGACCTTTGATATCGTTGAAAGTCGGGCACTTCGGGGGCATCTTGTATGTTATTAAACGTGTGTTTTTTTATAAACTGTATTGTGAGAGAGAATATTGTTGAGAAAAAAGAAAAGGAAAATAAAATTTGCAGACCTATCGCGACCTCAAGCAAGACCGGTATCGCTTACACAGTGGAGCAGTATCATTGCCCCGTGATACACGCGGTTGTCACGCGACCAACGACTGACGATAAACAGAGACATACACATATGCGTCTTGAAGGATCATAATCAAACTCGACCTCTCCGTCGATCGACAGTTTAAAAGTGCTTTGCGATCGATTTGAAACGTGTCTTACACGAAAGTCTCCCGTTGTTTCTCGTACCGTTCTTTTATTTTCGGAATTGTAGTGTCGGCGCAGTGCTTCTTCGGTGTTTACGAAAATGAGCGAAAAGAAAACCGAATCTCAAGAATCTGATGAGATATCGAAAAAGGAATTGGTAAAGCTAGATTCAATAAAAAAGGAGCAATTCTCGAAATCGATAGAAAATATGAAGAAGAATGTGGAGAAAATAGTTGAGAAGCATAAGATAGGAACATCACAAAGTATCAAGACTGCACCTAAAATTCCTACCTCCACTAAATCTGTGGATCCTATAGCTACAGAAACATGCCAAATATCCAAAAATAAGAGCGAATGGTCTACCTCTGACGAGTCCGACAGTTCTGAAGATGCAGAAGACAGTTCTGAGGATGAAGAAGAATGTCAAATGTCCAAGAGTATATCCAAAACATCCACTTCAATGCAACCTACTGAAATTTCTGAAGTATGCCAAAAACCTAAAACCACATCCAAAAGTTCCACTTCCAGCAAAACTGATCATAAAATTACAGAAATATGCGAAATACCTAAGGTGACGTCCGAAATTTACGACAAATTAAGTAAGTATGGTAAAGAAATATGTCAAGCGTTTAAGAAAAAATCGGAAGAGTCTGCCGAATTGGAGCAGTCTGAAACTCCAGCTACAAAAATGTCCAGAGCACTCGAGAGATCTAAGTGGTTTGAAGCCTGTGGCTTTGAAGCTTCAAACGCTACAAGAGCTGCAAGAATGTACCGATTACTTAAGGCTGACGAGTCCGCCAAGCTTGAGACTCCTGAAATTCCAGAAGCTGCAGAAGTGTGTCAAATGCCCAAAAGTACATCTGAAGAGTCCATCAAGCTTAAGTTTCTTGAAACTCCAGAAGCTGCAGAGATGTCCACAGCAATCGAGAGATCTAAGAGGTTTGAAGTTTATGGCTATGAAACTTCAAGAGCTACAAGAATGTACGAAATACTTAAGAATGCATCTAAAAAGTCTGCCAAACTTGAGACTCTTGAAATTTCAGAAGCTGCAAAAGTGTGCCAAATGCCCAAAAATACATCTAAAGAGTCTGCCGAACTGGAGGCTTCTGAAACTCCAGAAGGTACAAAAGCGTCCAGAGCACTTGAGAGATCTAAGAGACTTGAAGCCTGTGGCTTTATTGAAACTTCAAGCGCTGCAAGAGCTGCAAAAATGTATCAATTACTTAAGACTGCATCTGAAGAGCCCGCCAAGTTTCAGATTCCTGAAATTCCAGAAGCTGCAAAAGTGTCCCAAATGACGCAAACTACATCCGAAGATTCCACCGAACTTAAGGCTCTTGGAATTCCAGAAACTGCAAAAGTGCGTCAAATGTTCAAAACTACGGTCGAAGTGTCTACCTGCACTGAGAGTGAAGATTTTGATCCAAACGTTGCAAAAATGTTTAAGAATCCCCAGGAAGACCAAATTACGTCCGATCCTTCCAAAAGCATCCTTGTTCATCCTTTAGATAAAATGGAGGAAGCTGAAGTACTAAAAGACTGCCCAATTTGCAGTTCCAAAATCACTGAGAGATGTGAAAATGTAGAATCATGCCTAAGATGCGGTTCTACACTCCCCCTATCATATGATACGAAAAAAAAAATACGTAGTAAAGTACACTCTGCAGATGATATATACACTACTGTAGCCTCTGCTGAAGACTGCAAGTTAAATGTAAACGATAGCAAGAGCAATTTAAAAGCTTCCACTAAGCTTGAAGAAAATCTTCTCGAAAAGGTTTCTATGAAATCAGTTGACGATACTGGCAAGATAGTAATGATACCCATCATCGAAAAAGTTGTAAGTTTTCTTTTTAACTAATATTATTTTCTTTTTAAACATTAGAGTGTTGAAAATATAATTAAATATATTGAAATGAACAACGAAAAAATAAATAAAAAAATTAATTGATTAAATTTTAATAATTTATTTTAAAAACGTAATGTATGAATATTTACTTTTTAAAATTTTGAATTCTTAAAAATATAAATTTATATTTAAAGAATTAGCTCTAAAGGGTTAAATAAATTCAAAGAATTTACTTCTCGGTGTTTCATAAATTGAAATCATATTGAACAAAGGAATTAACTCGAGATGTGATTGATGCACGTAAATTCTGGCCGCCTATGTCAGCACCGAACTTCAACGAACATCATTTGGTCCTGGCAAGTCATCATTTAGTGCCTTCACTGTCGTTCGGGCTTTTCGAAATGTTCGCAGAAATAATTGAAGTTGTTACGAAGAAGCCAGTTGTCTTATTGCATGAATCCAGAGACAACCGACCTATCGCTGCGGAAATCGCTGATATAGGTACACTTAAACAGATTTCTCGAGAAAGATTTAACTAGAATAAATATAAACGAAGGATTTCATAAATACATATGAAGGTCAATTACATATTATTTTCCTACAACATCTTTTTCTTAATCTTAAATATACATCCTTAAACATTTTCGTGATGTTTGATTATGCGATAGTTTTTTTTTTATTTCAAGACAACTTACGAACTTTGTACGTTCACGACAGAGAGAAAAATGCATCTTGTTAAAAAATATAAAATATAGTACTAATAAAAAAAATAAAAATTTTATTTTTCAATTTATTTTTGCAGTTATCTTACCCGCGGCTGAAACATGGAACGACGGTGTACTCTTACCCGCAAGCTTTGTTTTCGAACATCGTCTAAATAAAGATAAATCGGCCAACCTGTACGCCGACGTAATCGTCGCAAAGGATCGTGCCCCGCATATTCAAGTAAATGAACTTAGCAATTTTTATAGTAATTTTTCTTATTCCGTAATTTATAATTACTTAGTTTAATTACTTATATATCATTAAAATTTGCATTTATTTAAAAATAATAATTATAAGATATACATTCTCTAAAATATAATAATTTTGAAATATTAACAATCATTTATTAACTGCAGGATATCATGGATTTGCGAGGACATAGGTGCGCTGTTCCAAATAATCGGCACCAGTTCAGCGCCGCTGGATTACTCTTCAATTATTTGTACTCGAAAGGCGAAAACATGATGTTTTTTGGTCATGTACTCGGTTGGTTGAAAGTGTTTTATTCACATAATATGATGATGATTATTAACTATATCTATTAATTGTACATCTGTTTCATTAAGATTCTTGTTAAAAATACATAAAAAATGTCAAAGAAAAATGTCAAATTGCAAAAATAGCAATAGTAAATGAAATATTGAGCAAAAATGTTAAATAATGTTTACTATCTCGTATATTTCTAATGAATTGAAATCATTTTGAGTAGTAGATAAAGGATAAATTTGTTTCAAGTTTTTTTTTTAATTACCTTTTTTATTATCAGATGGCAGAACGCAGATGGAAGTATTGGAAATGGTTGCCGGCAAGCAGGCGGAAATAGGGATTCTGGAATCATCGGTAATAAGATGTAACAAATACAACGTACACGGTGCAGATTCTCTTCACATCCTCACCAGCTTGGGACCTTTACCGCCTTATCGTATTATGATAAAAAATACACTAGGTATTAATCTAACTACATTAGAACAGATATTAACAAAGATTAACCCTAGAAGGATCTCGTGGAATATAATCTTTGTTTTCACGATTAATTAAAAAAAATCATACAGAAGTAATTATTTATGAAAAAGAAACTTCAAAAATTAAAATGAAATTTTTTTAATCCATGAATGAAATAAAGATAAATAGCACTATGCATATATGTAAAATAAAAATAAAAAATACCTTCAATCTACTGAAATCGGAAAGAATGAAGCAAAGAAAAAAGTATCTACGAGATATGGGTTTTGTGTGTATTTTTAACTTTTTTTCGTTTCATTTCTCTTTGTTAATATATTTTTTGATTTTATTCAGCGAATCAACTGGCCAAAGAACTTACAGCCTATTTACTAAACATAGATAAGAACGAGGAGTGGCTGAAGAGATTGTCGCCCTACGGCGTCATAGGGTTTGCCAAGAACTCTATGGATTACTACAATCTGGTTGATAAAAAGTGTGTAGAAACTAACGTGCCCTACTATTAAAATTATTTTACATTATTTATTCCTTATTTTTGTCTTTTAACGTTTTATACATATATACATTTATAAATGCAATTCTCTTTTTTGCTCGAATATAACATGTGGTATTTTATTAAATTTAAATAAATATTAATTAGCAAATTTATTCTTGGCTTATATATATACATATATATGTGATTTGTTAAAAAAAGATTCTCTCCCTCTCCCTCTCCCTCTCCCTCTCCCTCTCCCTCTTCCTCTCCCTCTCTCTCCCTCTTTACAAATTTATTCTTGGCTTATATATATACATATATATGTGATTTGTTAAAAAAAGATTCTCTCCCTCTCCCTCTCCCTCTCCCTCTCCCTCTTCCTCTCCCTCTCTCTCTCTCTCTCTCTGATTTTTCGCTCTTTTCTGCAATAACACACTTTCCGATTTATTCCAAATCGATTCACACAACGCGTAAAGTACTATCAAAATCCACTTTGTATTATAAATTGTAAAATTCGTCTAGAAGAACTTACGATATACAAGTAATAACAATTCGGTGAGATTTACATCATATTATGGGTAGTTAATTTTTTTTCTTTATGAATAACTCTCTTTGCAGCTAAATTTAGAATCGTTTTAGTTACTTGAAGTTCAGATTTTTTTATTTTCAATAAATTTGTGAAAAGTAACATTTTAACAAATATGGAATTCATCAAATTTATTTTCATAATTTGTGGAAAAATTGTTAATTTTGTGATCTTTAAATGTTTTTTTAGATTTTGTAAAATTGAATTTTTGAAATAATATTGTTAGATTGCTTGTGAATTTAACTAAGTGATATTACTACGGTAGTAAGTATGTATGCGTCAATGTTGAAAAACTATCAGCGTCGCGATTTTTTGGGGGACTATATACACAGTATATAAAATTCACACAATTATAATAAGCACTGTGATCCAGCTTTGACCGTTATTGATTTCCTTCTTCTTGTTTATTGTTTATCAATTGTACGATCATAAAAAGATTTTAATATTTGAATTTTTTTAATTTACAATTGTTTTTATGAAACTCATTTTTTCAAAATGTGTAAAATCACTTGCTTCATACACAAGTAACTTGAAACAATTTGAAACTTCCGTTATTATCAATACTTTCGTATTTTCAAAATAATTCAAATATATTTCTTAGCCTGTTAGACTCGTAGTAAATTTTAGCCTACGTTTAAGTCACTACGTCGTCGAGATGATCTCACGGAAGATCACAAAAAGTTCGGTGGAAGCATTCCGTTGGCAAGACGTATGATGCCAGATGACAGAGCGTTGTTTAGAAATTCTTCTAACCGTACTAGAGGCCCGCCACCACCGCCCGCAACATTACGCATTCGCGGAAAATACTGTTCCATCAATAGTGTCAACAATTTATAAAATTGCTTCGGATAAGAGGTCCACAGCACATTACCGGCGACCTCAAGCATATCCAGTATCAAAGTCGCGCACAAATCACAAATATCGGCTCGTGGTTCTGAAAATTAAACATATACATTTTTTTTAAATAATATTTATAATTTTGTGTATTGTAAAAAGTCCCTTCTTAGTAATGTAAGCTGAAGTAATAAATTATATTCCATATTGTAAAAATTTTACGTGTTTTTCTGCATGTCTTACTATTATATATTATATTTTTTTAATATTTTTGTTCTAGCGATTTTTTAAGAACATTAATGTTTGCATTTTATTATGTATAATTTTCCTACCAATATTCAAAACAGCCGCTAGCCATCTCCAGGAATGTTGAAGACCGTGAGGATGAACTTTGGTAACACTTTTCCGCTGTTTCGTAACAGTAATCGACGCATACAATCTAATTAATCCCGACATCCTCTTTAAGAATTTGTCTTGCTTCTCAACAGTGCCATCTTCAGAATATTTGCAACCAAGAGATTTGTAATAATCTTCATTGGACTGACCCTCTTGTTGCTGCAGAAAAACTGGTATAGTGAACGGACACGCTTCGTGAAGATGCGCCAGAAACAATTCGCCAAAATCAGGATGTTCGTTCCAAAGAGCCACAACAATCATCGCTACAGGAAATGCCATTTCTGGTTTGCTAGACACCAAAGTCTCGCCTTGACTCTAAGAATTCATAGAATATTGTGTGTGTCATTGCAAATTTCTTTAAAACTAACAAAGTACATTTAATAGCAAAAGAATTTTCTTACGATTTATATCAACTTTTACATAATTTTTATTAAATAAATTGTTTTCTTATAAATAAAAAAAGAGATCAACACAATGATCCACGCAAAACTATATAACTATATTCTCCTGTGTATTATAAATCTTAAAAAGATACATACAACTATCTTTTTCGCCAGATGATTTTTACAGAAAATTACTCCTTGTGGATGTTGTGTTATGTTAGGCATTAATTTTCCAGTCAAAAGATTCTGCAGTCTGTCATATTTATCTCTCAAGTGTTGCTCGCTTACACCAGAAATCGCGTTTACAGGGATGTTGATCGCCTTTTGACACTCAAAGCGAAATTTCTTTGTTGCAGGCGATTGTAAAAAGTCTTTACAAGTTTCTCTATAATGATTCAAGAATTGATGGCTCCTGATGTAAATCTGCAATGAATCTTGGTCGACATACTCGAAGGGATCGCCTACAAATTTATAACATTACAAATAAATAAATTAATCTATTTGGTTAGCAATCTAAATTTAGATAGAAAATATAGATATGAAATGGATAATAATATAAAACAGAATAATTGTAAATATATACACATTATTAATTTAAATGTTTCTTATATGCTTTTAGAAATTTTAATTACCTTTTTTACATGCAGTATCTTTAATTTCTTCTGATTGAGGATCAGATACAGACGGTGCATCTACTTCGTTAACTGATGTAACTACTACTACTTCCTGATTTGTTATCACATTGAAACTACCGTCTTCCTCCTTGTTTTTTACAACATTGCTCTCATCTGATTGTTGATAAGGTATTGCATTATTAACTGGAACATTGCCTGTCCCTTTGACTAGCAGTATCTCGCTTGCAACTTGCGCTTTTCGAGCCAATTCCGCTTCATATTGAGCATTTATTTTTTCTACAATATGTAACAAAGTATACTTATTAATACAACTTTGAGATAAAAAATATGATTGTCTGCAAAAAAATTCACAAACCTGATTCTGTACGAAATACATTTAATATATTACTGAAGTGGCAAACCAAACCCTCGATAAGATTTTCATCTGCTGGTATCAATTCTCCATTCTATAAAGGAAACAAAAACATCTGTCACTTATCAATCATTAACCAAGTATTATATAACAATCTGCAAAATGTCCTGGAAAAAAACCTCTAAAAATTCACGATTATCTCTTTTCTGTTAGTAAATATAATTCAGCATTTAAGAAAAATATTAATTTTCTTGCAAATAGTTTTTCTTTTTGACAATTACTCTGATTTTCTCGTCTATAGCTTCGATTTGTTGGAGCATATCTCTTATCGTCGCGGTATGTGCAGTAAAGATTGCATTGAACATTTGCTGGTCTTTGCAGGTTTTGGATAATGCCACGAGATCACAGTACTTGGCCATAAACTGGTCTCGATGAATTGACACAGTCTTCAACAGTTCCTTTTCTTTCATTCTTTTTCGATATTCCTCCACTTCTCGTTCAAGCTTTTCTTTTTGCTCTTGATCACGTTGTGCTTGCAATTGTTGCTCATGTCGCCTCTTGATCTCTTCCTGCTCTGCCAATCGTTCCTCTTCAGCTAAGAAATATTCCAACTTCTCTTTACTCCGGCGTTCGCGTTCACGTGCCATCGATGAGCGCGAATTTTCCATTTCTTCCTGAATGACACGAGCATTCTCGTTCATGTGCTGAATACGACGCTCTATTACTTTCTGCAATACAATTGAAAAAATAACGATAGAAAGCAGCATCAATCAATATAGGTGTGACATTATGTTTTTAATATCATCTTCAACAAAGAATTTCATTAGACTTATATGTATATATTCATTTCAAATTACTTGTCTATTCGAAGTCTCTTATATTGATTGTTTATACACTTTATTAATAACTAACTAAAAATATATTTATTTCAAATTACTACTCAATATATGTATTATATGTATGTTGTTATAATAATCAAGATACCCTGACTTCTTCTTTTCTTTGCACCTCCTTCTCTGCTACAATCTTATGGACCGAAAAATGAATGCCATTTGAAGTGGACACCATGTTGTGTTTGGGACTGGTAACAAATCTATATGGACTTTTAATGTTACAGGAATTTTGTTCATTCTCAATGTTGTCTGCTTTGTTAGAATCTTCTTCATTCAGTGTTGATTGAGGCCCAATTGTGATACGATCCATTTTTGTAATCGCTGATATATGCGATGCCTTCTTTAATGCAGATACCTTAAGACAAGCAAAGTCTGATGTGATATCCATGTCGTTCACCTGTAAAACAACAGTTGCATAAATAAATTAAAAATTTTTCAAGATACAAAGCCAAGATTTTTTATCTTTTATTGGAGAGTCAAAGGTCTATTCATTTCCATATACTCCAGAACTGAACCTCTTGCACAGAAGAAACTTTTTTTTCTCTCCAATATAAAAAGAAAAAGAGAAGAGATGAACCATACAAGAAATTCTGGAGTGTGCAAAGAGGACAGACCTATAGACTTGTCGTTGGACAATATTCGGCAGTAAACAAACCGAGTATCAAAAATGTGTATATACGAATACAGAAAGAAACTTTGTGTGTTATTCTTTGTCATTTATTATAAGGAGAACTTAAACAAAGCTCGTTGAACAATTAATAATTTTTTCCTTATTACTTTAAAATTATACATGCCGATGTATGCCACCTCCGTCTCTCGACTTACCTTGTTGGTTTCCACTTTCTTCCTCTCTGAATGAAACGACATAATTTTATTTCGTAGGATTAAAGACGCGTAACTACCAACTTCGTGAATCTAACCTGATTTAGACCGAAGCGCGAAAATTTACATGCACTTTTGATCAACATCGACGGGACAAACCGTACGCTGAGATCATCGTTTTCTCATCGTGTTACTCGATTTGTTGATTGAGCCGTCGTTTCATTATCGGCATCGCAATCCTCAACAATAATCCGTTCGCTCACACACGACACAACAATTAATGCGCCGGGACAGCGGGGAAACAACACCTGACAATACCGCAAGACCGCAATACGTAGAAATCAGCGATCTAAAAGGAGATTCAGACAGGAAAAATCGAACTTGTCTATCAGAAACAAAGAAGAATAACATTTAGTGAAACAGAGAAAGAGAATTTATAGTAATAAAAGAGAGAAGCCTAAGAGCTGTCATGCCCGGGATTTAGCAACAACCATAGTGGAAGTATATTTCCACCATGATGGAAAGCTAGCGCCGCTAACGGTGATCCAATCAGCGCTTGTACTGTTTGTAGCAGAGCATCGTGCCACATCGCGCTCATTGGTTGACTGCGAGTGG